CTGTTGATCTGTCCCTTAAAGTCCTTAAAGTTATTATGGATAGCTCCTTATTTATTGCCATTTTAATTCTTTATGCCTGTTTCTCTCTCTATTTCTTATTATTACAGCAGTCCCTTTAACATTTCCTGCAATGCTGGTTTGGTGGTGATAAACTCCTTTAGCCTTTTTTTTGTCTGGGAAGCTCTTTATTTCACCATCTATCTTTATTTCACCATGATAGTCTTGCTGGATAGAGTAGTCTTGGTTTCAGATCCTTGTTTTGCATTACCTTGAATACTTCATGGCATTCCCTTCTGGCCTGTAGAGTTTCTGATGAGAAGTCAGCTGACAGCATTATGGGAGCTCCTTTGTAGGTAACAGATTGCTTTTCTCTAGCTTCCTTTAATATTCTCTGTTTTGAACTTTTGGCATTTTAATTATGATGTGTGTGGATGTGGGCCTCTTTGGGTCCTTCTTGCTTGGGACTCTCTGTGCCTCCTGAATTTGTGTGACTTTTTCCTTCACCAGGTTAGGGAAGTTTTTTGCCATTATTTCTTCAAATAGGTTCTCTAACCCTTGCTTACTTTCTACCTCTTCTGGCACTCCTGTGTTGCTAATATTGTTACATTTCATGTTGTCCCATAGCTCCCTTAAACTGTCCTCTGGTTTGTTAATTGCTTTTTCTTTTTGGATCTCTGATTGAGTGATTTTTTTCTACCCCGTCCTCTTAATTCACTGATCTGATCCTCAGCTTCCTCTAATCTGATGTTTATTTCTTCCAATGTATTCTTTGTTTCTGCTGTCATTCTTAATTCCCTTCATAGTTTCCATATCTTTTCTTCATGCTGTTGAGCATTCTTACAATCAGTATTCTGAACTCTATATCTGATAGATTGCTTATCTCTGTCTCATTTAGCTCTTTTTCTGGAGACTTCTCTTGTTCTTTCATTTGGGGCTTGTTTTTTTGTCTCCCCATTTTGGTGGCCTCTTTGGGTTTGTTTCTATGTATTAGGTAGGCCTGCTAGGAGACTCAGTTTTTTTGGAGGGTCCCTGGTGCAGGCCAATGTCAGACGATGTTTGTGACTAGCCTTGAGTACTCTGTTTGGAGCTATCAACAACCCACGGCTTGAGGTCCTCTCTGTTGGGGCCGGGTGCATTTGGACAGGACCAAGACGCACACCAAAGTCTGCTTTTCCAAGGCCCAGGTCCAGAATCAGATCAGGCAAAAACTCAAAGGACCCTGAAGTCTGCCTCCGGCTGTAGGCTAATTAATCTGATTCTCTTAATGAGCCTCGAGCTATAGAAGCTCCTCTGGGTAGGGCGAGAGGTTTTCCAGCAGGGTGGGGCAATCGCTTCCCCCTCTGGCAAAAGCTTCTTGGAAGGTATGGGAGAATGACTCAGCACAGGAATGCAGAGGGGTGCCCTCTGAGCTCTGTCTCCAGAGCCCAAAACCCTGGATTCTCCTCACACTGCTCCAGTCCATTCTTCCCTCCCTCTGCTGGAGCCCAAGGTAAGTGGCTGCACAGGAAACTTTGTGCATTAGCCCTTTAAGAGGGAACCTTTGTTTCCAGCCATCTCTCCCTGGCAGACAGAAACCCGGCTGCTTTTCACAGCCAGATGTTATGTGGGCACCTTTCTCAGTCCTGGTGCTCTGGGCTGGGAAGCCCAGTGTGGGGTTTAGGCCCCAGAGTCCTCAGTGGGAACCCCCCTGGCTGAGATCTCCCCCGGGACCTTCAGCTGCTGCCTGTGGGAGCCCAGCCAGTGCTCTCGCGCCTCCACACTTCCTACCAGTCTCTGTGCGGTCTCCCCTTTTCCTCCTTGGTTATGAGGGTGCTCCCCAGCTCTTCTGCAGTTGCAGTTGATTATTCAGGGTGATTTTTCTGTATTTTAGTTGTAATTCCTGTTTGGTCCTGGGAGAGTGTCGAGGTAGGTCCACTCCGTCTGCAGCCAGCTTTAATCTCCTCTGTCCTTTTATTTCCTCATCCAAAAAGCTAAGCGGCCTGCCACCTAGGAAAGATAATGTTTGTTGAGCACTTGCTGTGAACTTGGCCCTGGGCGCCGCCGAACTCTGCTCCTGAAGAGTCCATGAGGAAGGTTCTGTTTTTATCCCAGTTTCCAAATGAGGAAACTGCATTTTGGAAAAGTTAAGTCATTGATCAGAGTAATTCATCTGGCGAGAGACTCAGACAGTTCCGCGGACTGCTGTACGCAAGGGTTTGGCTGGAAACCCCTCTTCACATGGCGGCGCATGCTAATTAGAAAGAAATGTTTTGATTAAAACAAACGTTTCAGTTTTGCTAATAAAAATTATCACTCATGTTTGTGGACAAACATGACTTTTCTGCTGTGAGTCTTCTGCTGTAGGGTAGCTCAGTTGACACATAAAACTAACCATCCCAGTGCTGTTTAGCTTACTCCTCTCGCCCTGTGTAGTTCGCTGTGGCAGCCACTAGCTGTTGAGTACTTGAACTGTAGCTAATCGGAATCGAGGTGCGCTATAAGCATAAATCCACACCGCAGCAAATGTAGAAGACACACTAGAAATAAAAAGAGTGTGAACTGTCTCATTATTTTTACATTGGTTATATGTTGAAATAATATTTTAGATATGTTGGGTTAAATAAGTGTATTGATTACTAAAAAACAATGAAACCCGATATGTATTTAAATTAGAGTATAAGGAGAATGATCGAGTTGTAAAATATTTTAAATAAAATTATTTTTCTGAAAATGGCTTGTGCTAAATCACAAACTGTCTTTTGAAGTCAGAAGGTTGTTTTTTCTGAGATCATGGAGGTTTCTGCCAAGAGAGATCTGGTTTGTAGTACAGTGGATGGGCTCAATATTTCTTTAGTGAGATACTTGAAAGTCATGTTTTGTTATACTATAAGTGATATGTAACCAAACAAGAACAATTTTCCTAGCAACAGAGTTGTTTTCCTCAACCAGAAGAATGTTTTCATGTGCCCATTTTCTTAATGTCCAAAAGATAAAAAAGCTTATGATTTTAGCATTGTATATTTTTGAGATTAAGATGCTGGCAAGTATAGATAGTAGAATATATAAGAATGTCACTAGAAATATTTGACAAGCATTATGTTAAGGTAATTCAGACCTAAAGTATGTTTAGCTCGGTAGAGAACCACATAGTTTTTATGATAGACCCAATTGTTGGACATGGTTATCTCACCTCCATGAGCCTCATTTTTTTTTACCCTCACCCAAGGATATTTTTTCCATCACTTTTCAGAGAGAGTGGAAGGGAGAGTGAGAGAGAGAGACACACACATTGTTGGTTGCCTCTGGCACACGCCTCAACCGGGGCCGGGGATAGAGCCTGCAACTGAGGTACGTGCCCTTGGCTGGAATCGAACCCGAGACCCTTCAGTCCACAGGCCAACGCTCTAACCACTGAGCCAAACCGGCCAGGGCTCCATAAGGTCTTTTTAACTCCTTTTGTTCTTCATTAATTACATGCCCAAGCTTTTTTCATACAAATGTTTGAATGCCGTGTGTTAGAAGACACTAGGGATATTGTGCCCTCATGAGGCTTATGTATTAGTGAAGGATTCAGACGTGAGTGAAAGATTTACACAGGTCAGGAAGCTCGTGGGTGCTGTGAAGATGAATGAAAGGTTCTTCTCTAAATCAAAGGGCAGCGGGCAGGGGAGAGCCCATCTAAAGGACGAGTAGCATTTAGCCAGGCGGAAATCAGGACTGGTCGGTTAGGTCAAGGGGTACATTTTGTAAAGGTCTCATCCCAGGAATGAGCTTGGCAAGTGGGAAGGGCAATAGCAGGAAGGCCTCTGTGGCTGTGTGTGTGTGTGTGTGTGTGTGTGTGTGAGAGAGAGAGAGAGAGAGAGAGAGAGAGAGAGAGAGAGAGAGAGAGAAAGAGAAAGTGTCTCAGGAAGAATAGAGTAAGGCACACGGGCAGAGAGTCCTGTAGAACCCTGTTCAGAGCAACAAGTAGGCTGGGTACATATGGCCTTGTTCTCCAGAACTCAGTCTTCAAGTGGATATGGTTTGTAGATAGGGTGACCATGTAATTTATCATCCCAACTAGAATACGCTAGAGAGCAAAAGGAGGCGCTATTAATTATGCTAGGACAGTGGGTATAAACCAGTATAACTTGGGCACGCCAGGGTGTTTGATCCCCATGCTCAGAGGCCATTTCTCAACCACTCCAGTAAGCCTGAAGCTGCCTAGAAACCATGCTCGGAACTTATAGGATTAGTCACATGTTTGCGCTTTCTCACCACCCCCCTTCACCCATGGATAGGAGAACCTGCACCAGGTCTAAGCCACAGATCACAGCCCCATTGCCCTCTTAACTGTAGCTTAGTGTTTTTCAGGTTGCCATCTCATGAGAGTTCAGATCCTTGATGTACGTGAAGTCTTACTAACGTGTTTTTAGAATTAAAGTCTTAAAAACATAGAGGAAAGAAAGTAAGGCTTAAACATGTAGCACATAAACTTCGCCCACTAGAAACTTTCCTACATCGCTTCTCATGGATGACATGACCTAATTATATGTTCCCAGATGGCAGTCAGGCAGAATGGGTGTGGTCCGATTATAAGCTCTTTCAGAATAAACATGTTTTGTGATTTGGCCCCTATGGTGGATGATACACAGAGCAGAGCACCTACAGGACGCATCCCCATAGTTATAAAACCTTTAACAATGACCATAGAATGAAGTAGTAAAGGAATCTTTTCACTATTGATTTGATTTTTTTTTAACAGAATCAGCTGTTGGCCTGACTTTGTATAGTGAGATTTGATGGAGCTTTATTTCCTGTTCTCCTCTGTGCCTAAGTCACTCTCTGCAGCAGGGCCCTCCAGGAGTCTTAGTAATTCCTTAAGTTTACTGAGAAATGGGTCACTTTGCATTATAATAATATTTAGTGTTTATATCAGCCAAATGCTGAAGACTGGCACTTTGAGGTGTTCTTCTGTTTCTTTAGAAGTTTCACTATTTCTTTTCAAACTGTACTAATATTCTTACTTTTTGTTTTACAAGCCAGGAAATGTGAAGAATTCACCTGGAAATAAGTAGAATACTCCATGTTCTGCCCATTTGAATCAGGTAAAGAATAGGAAAACTCTGTGGTTATTTTTAGCATTGTTAGCACCAGCTAAAATGAGCTGTCTTTAATTAACTTAATTCTATAAATTAATTATAGCAGTTTCAACTTTATATGGAAACATAGGGTCAGGACAATGTTTCATTCCATCTTTAATTTCTGGGTTTAAGTGCCATGACTTATATAATTGTGTTTGTTCCTGAGATTTACCTGGGTTTTTTGGACAAGCCAGAACTTGACAGTTGTGATTTATGATTTCAAACAATTAAAAAAATGCCATTACTTCTTAGGTTTCTTTTTTTCAAACTTCACTATAGTTAGTACACTTTTACTCATCTAATAGTCATTCATTATACATTTGTTGACTGTATGACTGTTGTAGAGAAATTCAAAATTATATAGAGATGTTATTGTAATTGACACAGGGAGCTCATGGGTGTAAGTATTCTGTAAAGATTGAGTAGCCTAAGGCTGGAGAAATTTAGGATGATATCAGATGAAGTCAGAAAATGAGTTTTATTTCTTCTGGTCTCATACTCAATTCACTATTTTCATTCATTTGTTTAATATTTACTCATCGAGTACCTACGTACAAAACACTGATTATATTAATATTATTTTGTGTGCATATTAAAAATTGTATGCTAGCCCTTGTGATTTCCTGGTAATTAGACTGTATTGAATTTGGAAACAATCTAAATATTCAACTGCAGGCAAATGGCTCAATCATGGTATATCCATAAAGAGGAATGTTACTATGTTTTAATAATATTTAATTGCATGGGAACATGTACACGATTGTTAAGTGGAGGAAGAACAGGATAGTATGATACTTTTAAAAAAAAATTTTATTGATTGATTTGAGAGAGAGGAAGAGAGAGAAACAGAGAGAGATGAGTTTGTTGTCCCACTTACCCATGCATTCATGGGTTTCTTCCTGTATGTGCCCTGACTGGGGATCAAAGCCACAGTATTGGTGTATCCAGACGATGCTCTAACCAACTGAGCTAGGGTGATAGTATGATGCATTTTTAGAAAGGGTAAAGACCGGGAAATACAGCAAAATATTTAAGTAGTTCCTCCTTATCCACAACTTCAGTTTTCATGGTTTCAGTTACTTTTGGTCAACTATGGTCCAAAAATATTAAATGGAAAATTCCAGAAATAAACAATTTACAAGTTCTGGGCAGTGTGATGAAATCTTGTGCCATCCTGCTCTGTCCTGCCCGGGACTTGAATCATCCTTTGGTCCTACTTATCTGTGCTGTACCTATAGTACAGTAAGATATTGGAGAGACTGTGATCACATAACTTTTATTGCAGTATTTTGTTCTAATTGTTCTATTTTGTTATTGTTCTTGTCAGTCTCTTACTGTGCCTAATGTGTAAATGAAACTTTATCATAGCTATGCATATCTAGGAAAAAGCATAGTATATATAGAGTTCAGTCCTATCCCCAATCTCAGGCATCCACTGGGGGTCTAGGAACGTATCCCCTGCAGATAAGGGGGACTACTGTATATATCTTTTTATATTAGAATTATAGATGATTTTTATATTTTTTCTTTTATATAACTTTCTGTATTTTTAAATTTTCCACAATGAATATGAGTTTTCTTTTATAATAAAACATTTTTATATTAGTGTTACATTTATTGTAAATTATGGCTGTGATTTAAAATTCATGAAAGCCCCAGGTTTGAGGATTTTCTTTCTCAAGCTCTCTCCCTAATTTTGGAGACCTAGACAATCATATAATCTTTGAATCTGAGAAGGGTCATCTCGCCCAACTCCCAGCCTCAAGTGTGTGTTCCCACTTTTCACCTCCACTGATAGAGAACTCACCTCACAGGGCAGCCATCTTTGGATAGTTCTGATTTTTAGGAAGCTGTTTCTTATACTAAGCAAAAATATGCCTCCTTTTAACTCCTACACAGTGGTCCTGATCCTGCATCAGGGTCCACAGAAAACAAATTCAGATCCGCTTTCACATGACGGCTCTTCATATAGTCACCCCAAGTCAGCAGGTCTCAAATTATGTTATACAAACAAATTACTTGGGGAGCTCGTTAAAAGGCAGAGGCCTAGGCCCCACCCCAGAATCGGCATCTCTGGCGAGTGGGACCAGATGTGCATCCGATGTGCAGTTAGAAGACAGACTAGAGGGCGAGCAGTGAGGAAGATACATTTGTCCTCCAGAGAGTTTTCACTGAATTATCTTTCTGTACAAGGACAATGAGACATGGCATAAAGGGAAACCGTGTGAAAAATATTCTGGGCCAGCCTAGATGGCATGGCTCAGCGGTTGAGCATCGATCTAGGATCCAGGAGATCCTGGTTCGATTTCCAGTCAGGGCACATGCCCTGGTTTCTGGCTCGATCCCCAGTCGGGGGCGTGCAGGAGGCAGCAATGACTCTCATCATTGATGTTTCTCTCTCTCTCCCTCTCCCTTCCTCTCTCTGAAATCAGTAAAAACATATTAAAAATTCTGGGCCAGAGTTCAACTTATACATAGCCTTGATTTCATTATTTTTTTAGATCTTTATTAGAGATGTATTTTTAATTATACAAGTGATATATATTTATGTAAAGAAAATTTTTTAGATAAATAGTTTTAAACTTGCCTTTTCTTCCTTTCCTGGAGGTAATCTCTTAATATTCTGTTACATCATCCCAGCTGGTTTCCCTGTGGGTGAATATGCCTCTATACATGCTTTTGCTTTTTTGACAGAATGCGATCATAGTCCTTGTATTATTTTAGGAGAACACTGGAAACTCCATGAGGGCAAATATCACAGTAGTATCACACCTGAAGAAATTAACATTAACTCCTTAATATCATCTAATAACCAGACAGTATGCAGACTTCCCTGATTGTCTCATTAATAACCTTTATACTTGGTTTGTTTGAATCAGGATCTAAGCAAGATCAGCTCACTGCATTTGACTGATAGGTCTCTTAAATCCCTTTTAAACTGTAATAGGTCCTTCTCCCTCATTTTCCTCTTGGCGTTTATTTGTTGAAAACCTCGGCTTATTTGTCCTTTAGAATTTCCCATGCTGTGGCTGTGGCTGAGCACATCCATTTAGTGTCATTGTGTTTATCTCTTGGTTCCTCTCTTCTCTGCATTTCCTATAAACTGATGGATCTAAAGGCTTAATCAGATTTAGGTTCAATTGTTTGGTAAGAATACTTCATAGACAGTGCTGTGTTTAACTATATGGAATGAATGAACTTGCCTTTTTTCACTTAATATATTATGTACATCCTTCCCTGTTGGTACTTGTAGATCTACCTCGTTCCTCCTTTAGCTGCATAATAATTTCCTAGTATGGACTACCATGATCTATAGAATCCTTATTAATATAGGTTGTTTCCAGTTTATAGTAATTTTTTGTTAATTTTCACCCGAGGATATTTTTTCCATTGATTTTTTTAGAGAGAGTGTAAGGGAGTGTGGGAGACACAGAGACACAGAGAGAGAAACATCGATGTGAGAGAGAAACATTGATTGGTTGCCTCCTGCATGCACCTCAACCAGGGATCGAACTGCAACCTGGGTATGTTCCCTGACTGGGAATTGGACCCACCACCTTTTGGTGCACAGGACAACACTCAACCAACTGAGCCATACCGACCAGGGCTAGGCATTTATTTTTTATTTATAAATCCATCCATCAGTTTAATTAGCTCAGGTACACAGCCAGTCAAGAATCTGAATGTAGTATTGATGAAACACAAAACCTTTCTGACATTTAGTTTACCTGTCTGTAAAATGGGAATAATTACACTTTGCTCTTGCTCCTTATGAGCCTCATGGTCATATAATGGTAATGTAAATATTTGTTATGATTTCTCTATGTAAACCTAAAGAATTTTCAAACTGCAAAATTGTAGAGTTGTTTTTATTTTTTCTGGCACAGTTTACTTATTTTTTTTCTTTCAGTTGTAGGTGAACATTGGAAACTCCATACAATAAACCAGTATTTCTACAGAAGAATGGAAGAGAAGTCAGTATTGAATATAGCAACTGGCTTTCTTCTTCAGGAAAACCTAAACTAGGCCTCTTTGTTACCTTGGGTGATGCCACATAACAAAGGGACTAATCTGAAATCTTTTCACCTACAGAATGTACAAGCCTTAGAACTTCTTGTTCTCATGTTGCTATTTATGTACATAATTAAAGTTCCAAGTTAAAAAAAGTTGCTCTGCTTTTTTCTATTCTGATATTATGGAATGACAGTTTAAGTGTATCTAGTGCCTGTGTGTATCTCTGAGTATACATGTATGTGTGTGTGTATATCTGAGTGCATGTGTGCACATGTATGTGGTGTGTGTGTGATGTGTGCCTCTGAGTATACATGTATGTGGGGTATGTGTGGTGTGTATGTGGTATGTCTCTGAGTGTATGTATGTGTGACATGTATTGTGTATATCTCTGAATGTACATGTGTTTGTGTGTGGGGGAGTGTGTGTGAAAACCATTAACTCTCCTTAGAGCAGTATCAGCTGGCAATCTGCAGTCTGTGCCCAAAACAGAGTCGAGTTAAGAGCGGCTCTGGAGCCAAGAGACAGCGCTTCGATAGCCAGCACAGGGAACAAAACCTGTAAGTAACAGCCTGCCTGGCACTGATGAGCAGGCATACCAAAGAAAACAGCGATGGGAGCCCGTGTGGTGTTGCCTCGGGCCCGTACAGAGCTCCCACTTCAGTGCCAGTGGGAGAAGCCTAATGAAGTAGGCTTTGTCTTCTGCTGGTGTGGGAACGGGAATGCCCTGTGCTTGTGTGTGGGGGTTCTTTGTATGGTGGCCTCATGTTCGCCTTTGTGGCCCCGAATGCACAGCTTATTGAACTCCATGTTCCCAGTGCTGGTGGGAATGGCAGGCGCCTCTTTTGACGTGTCAGCCAGCCAGGAAGGATGGGCGGGGAACAGTATGTGAAAGAGAGTTGAGAATTTCCAAACTTCAATCCGATTTGGAAGTTAAAAGTCATTTTTATATTCCTGTAACATCAATTTAGTTCCTAATTATTGACCTTCCAGAATTGATAGCAGTTGGTAAGACAGTAATATGCAAATAGAGTCCGGCCGGGCGTGGCTCAGCAGTTGAGCATCGACCTAGGATCCAGGCGATCGGGATTCGATTCCCAGGCAGGGCACATGCCCGGGTTTCGGGCTCCATCCCCAGTCAGGGGCGTGCAGGAGGCAGCCGATCAATGACTCATCATTGATGTTTCTCTCTCCCTCTCCCTTCCTCTCTCTGAAATCAATAAAGATATATTAAAATATATATATGCGCAAATAGACCGTGCACATGTTAATATTAAATATATTTGACATTCAAAATAGCAGCAATGGTGCCAGCATTGTTACCGGATTAATGAGTTGAAGCACTTTGATGCCTAGAATAATCCTGCTAGTGACCCAGCAGTCTTTTACTTCCTTTTATGCTGAATTACTTTTGTGTTACTATACTAATCATTTCAATATATTAAAGCTGTACCTAAATTATAATATCTCATTATATTGTTATTTCCAGCCTTTCCCATTGGCTTGGCTCCTGCATCACCTCCAGAAAGTACAGATTCCATGAGTTTCCTCATTCTTGAGATTGCCTGATCTAGAGACGATGAAGAAGCGGTCCGCATCACAGCACGCTCAGGGTCAGTAATCAAAAGGTGTTTGAGCCCTGTCCGGTCTTGCTCAGTAGTTAGAGCATTGGCCCGCAGACTGAAGGGTCCCGGGTTTGATTCTGGCCAAGGGTACATACCTCAGTTGCAGGCTCCATCCCTGGCCCCAGTGGGCGTGCACGTGGGAGGCAACCAATTAATGCGTCTCTCACATCAATGTTTCTTTCTCTACCATTCTTTCTGAAAAGCAATGGAAAAAATATCCTCAGGCCTGGCCCGTGTGGCTCAGCAATTGAGCATCAACCTAGGATCCAGGAGATCGGGGTTCAATTCCCAGTCAGGGCACATGCCCGGGTTGTAGGCTCAATCCCCAGTGGGGGGTGTGCAGGAGGCAGCCGATCAATGGCTCTCTCATCATTGATGTTTCTCTCTCTCTCTCTCTCTCTCTCCCTCTCCCTCTCCCTTCCTCTCTCTGAAATCAATAAAGACATATTAAAAAAAAAGATATGTATTACCTTTATGCCAGTAAAACAGAACAAAATAAATAATAAATTTGATTTTTTAAAAATATCCTCAGGTGAGGATTTAAAAAAAAGGTGTTTGAGTGCCTCCTAACTGTAAGGTATTACTTCCCCTTTTTAACCATTTATTCAATATTGAAACATGGCCTTCAAACCTCTTAACTCCTCCAAAGTGGGTGTAGAGGTTGAGGTCACAGAGCTGGCTCCTGGTGGTACCTGGCCTGTATCTACGACAGCAGGGGACTCACCTCCCAGCAAGTGTAACTCAGTTACCCTTTATACTATGGTTTTTCCCTTTTGTCGTTTTTGTGTCCAGCACTGCCTTCTTTTGTATTTAATGCTTTTTGCATGCCTTCCATGAACACCCAACTGTAGGGAGTATATAATTTGCATATCATAATATGTTGCATTTCTCCAGCTCTTTTTACTTTTCAGAGTGCTATTTTACACCTGTTCTTCCTCGGCTTACTCCTGACCTCAGTGTGTTTGTACTGCTTTTCTCTTTCCCGAAGAAATACTCTACTTAATGTTTACCCTTTTTGTTGTTAATCCTTACCTGAGGATATTTTTTCCATTGACTTTTAGAGAGAGTGGAAGGGAGAGAGAGGGGGAAAGAAAGAGAGAGAGAGAAGCATTGATGTGAGAGAGACACATCCATCGGTTCCCTCCCTCACGCGCCCCAACCGGGGCTGGGGATCAAACCTGCAAACCAGGTACGTGCCCTTGACCGGTAATCGAACCTGTGACCCTTCAGTATGTGGGCCGATGCTCTAACCACTGAGTTACACCCGCGTAGGGCACGTTTCTACTTTTTATTCTGTTTCTTATGACCATTTCTCCTTATAATAAAACTATGAATCTCAATCCAGTTTATCTGTCACCTAGTCAACATAGTTCCATTCGAATAACTTCAGGGAGTTTGGAGGGAATGTTCCCTACCATGCAGAGTGATTTCAGCTCATCTGAAGGGACAAATGTCTCAGCGATAATGTGGTAATTGGAGTCCTAAGAAAAATTAGTTTGTAGGAAATCAATATTTAAAAGCAATTGCTTCAGTGGGGAAAAAAGGGAGTAGCAGCACTAAAGAATGTCTTCATCAATCTTGTCGCCTGTGTCACCTCTTGGGACAAATCAAAACAGTAGTAATAGGAAGGAAGGACCCCCCACCTGGGCAGTGGTGTAGCAGGTGCCTGGGCTACTGGGTCAGCAGTTTTTGTCCTAAGTGCGCTGCTGGATCGCAGCCCAGCAGCCCTTCCCTGATGGGTCATTGACATTATGTCCCAGTGGCCTAAGGAAAATTCAGAGTCAAGGCAAATGCCTGTGTTCACATACCCAGATGGAAAAATAGGGCTTGTTTGTGGTTTACTACCCAGTCAATGACAGTTAAAGGTAGGCCAGGTAGTATTACTGGTTTTTATTAGTTTACAGATAAAATTCAGAGTCCTTGAATTCAGTGGGAAAAGAGACAGATTCTGTTCTCGTCATTGTCCTGTCATCTTTTGGGGAAGGCTTGACATTTAGAGAAACCAATTTTCTTGTCATTAGTAGTGTCCATGCAGTACGCTAAAGTTTTCACCTCCTAATTCAATGCACCCACCCAGTCTAATGCAAAAACCACTGTCAGGGGGACCAGCAATATATTTGTGGGACTAAACTCCCACCCAAGGCTTAATTTTAATTAAGGTAAATATTTGAAATAATGGTTTCATTCCCCACTGTTTGGAAGAAACTTCCTTGAGGTTCTGGTTTTCGCCCTGCATACCTCCTGTCTGATGTTTTGTTTCCCTTCTGTTAGGGTTCAAATTTCAAGTCAGTAATTAGCTGGCTCATAGTTCTAAAGGTACAATTAGTTCAAACTCCACACATGACCGAAGTTCAGGCTTATTTATGTTTGTGAAATGATAGCCAAGGAAATTTCTGGAGGGAGAAAAAGCTTGTTTTCATAAGGCAAGCGTTTCAGCATTTCACATTTAGTTTGCTGAGCAGTGCCGAATGAGCCGCCTGTATTTCACATTTAAGGGCCACTATGCTCTTAACCAACTCTAGAGCTTTGTTGTTGGACTTTCGTTGGGGCTCTGGAAGGCAGAAGGGTAGCAAAGGAAGTGACTTCTCCCTGCCCACCCGCAACCTGTGAAATAGTTTTCAGACTCAGTGTTTGCAGACTCAGTCAATCCTTCGGCACTGGCCTGTCTTGGGAGTGATAGGACAGGACAGGTGGGAGAAAAAGACAAAGGCAAAGATGGAGAGAAATAGGATTTAGAGACTGCTCCGGACACTCAAAAGTGAAGTCCTAGTGAGTCCTGGGATTTTGTTACCCCAAATTTGAGTGTGGTTGGAGGAATGGTTTTAAATGTTTTGTTCACTACAGGGAAAATATGAGCTGTCTAATTTATCTTCTGTATCTCTTCTACATGATAGTGTATCTCTTCAAGTAATGATAGTGTAAGAATACGTACATGACTTTCTCCTGAACCCCCAGGAATACAAGAGGAGGGGAATTTTGAAGATGGCATTAGCACACGAGGAAGGGATGGGAAGAGGGAGGCAGTGGCATTCTGTTTTTTGCAACAGTTAGTGGTAACTGTTTGACTTTTTAAAAATTGTTGACACTATTACAGATGTCCCCCATTTCCCCCCCCTTTAC